ACCCTCCGCTAGCCATGACCCCAGAGAGTGAGAAAACGACACCTTTCAGAGGTCGAAACCAGCGCGATTAATAACGAGAAGAAGCGGATTTAAGAGATGTTTCGTAATGTCAACTTGGCCAAAGTTAAGTATGCATGTAAGTGGAGGATTTAAGGATGTCCAAGTGTCATCAACTCAGATTAAAACCACCAATTCTCGAAGGAAAGAAATGACGAAGTGCAGCTCAGATTGTCTTCCACGGTCAGGTTGTGTAGAGGTGGAAATAAATTTCACATGTCATTTTCCCACTTGACACTCCCATTATCTAGAGGTTGGGAAAAGGCGATTCATCATTTGGAATGGAGAAATCAGTGAGAAATGTTTACTTCGGTAAGAATTAGGCATAGAGGCAACCAACCCGTAGTCGAGGCAACAGTAACGGTCTTAAATTAGCACGGAAGCGTCACAGGTGTAAAAAGGAGTTGGCAATAAACCATTTGGCAGTCCGACACGCTGAGTGAGCACCCTAGGACGAGATGATGTGGAGAAAAAAGGGAAAATAAATTCCAGATGGCTTCTTGCAATCAAAGAGTGCGATTTGTGGTGAGAGAAAACAAAAACTGAAATGAGAGCAAAAGGCACCCCCACTTTTCTCACAAAACACGTAAAAAGAGGCCCATCTTTTGAGTACCTCCCAACCAAGTGGCTACCGTGTTCTACTAAAGACAACCAACTGAAGGAGAAAAATCAGATAAAATGCCTCGATTGAGGTACAATTTTGGAATTGAGGGTGACAACTCGTAGCTAGGACGCCAGAAAGCGAGCCTTAGACGAATATGACAGATTGAGAGAGGGCAAGAGAAACAGCCAGACAATTAAGCAGACACTCAGGGAGTAGCTACTAAACACCGTATGTCTGCGGCTAGGCCTTACACCCGAAATTTGGGGAAGACTTAATTAATGCAAGAAAGATTTGTCATAACGCTACCTTGAAAGATGTTAACCACGCTTGAAAATAGAGGATTAGGAGGTGACGAAACTCCTGTCAACCCCCAAATTTAGCGATAATGACAAATGGTGGAGGAATGCACGATGTAATAATGAATATACCATGGCCAGCCACCATGCCGATCTTCTCGAAATAAAGCAGAAAGACTATCAAACAGTAGAGGGGCAAGTCAGCATGAGTTCATCGCGTAAGGAGTGACAGCCCGTGGCATGGACGAAAGAAACAGGTGCTAGTTTAGGAGCAAGGCGAAAGCACACACAGAGGAGGCAGTAGTGGAGTGGAGGATGAAGAGGATCGCATAATGTAATGTGAATTTTCAAGCCTATCAATCACCCATGAAACGAAATCTCGAAGCCTGACTTGGGAAAAAATGCTATCCGTCTATTCCATTGTCAGGTGTCAAATAAAATCCCTTAGACAAAGTCAGAAGTCACACCTACCAAGGACACAAACCTCTATTAAGGCAAGATCAAAGAGAAACACCACGGTAGGAATAAAGAAGAGGAGAATCCGCAAAAAAGTGCGATTCCTTGAGTTTATTCCACACTTACCACTAAACAGACAGTTCGTGAATGTGTGTTTAAAAAAATTAGGTCTATTTCAAGCATCTTGTTGCCGATCATCACCGATACGACAAAATGAGGTTCCCTCGACAACTGGTGAATAAGTTAGTGGGGAAGCTATTTTACAGCGACACGATAGTTCAGAAGGGATCACTGAGATCAGTGTGGAACTAAGTATGAAATAACGGGAAAAGTAAAAAGAGCTGTTGATTATCTTCTAGCCACCTGATTCAAGGATAGATATGAAAGACAATGCAAAACAGTTATAGAGATTCGTCCTAACAGCACCCACACAAAAGATGTTTCACCTGAGCTTAGCAGACAAAACTACATTTTTGGTCAACAAAAAAAGTGTGTACAAGAAAGTTTAGCAAACCTACCCCCTTCAAGACGACACAATCTGCCACTATGAAGGTTAACAGAAACACAAAGGCATTTATCTGTTTTGAAAGGAACACGATCACTCAGTAGGTCACCTTTAAAGTCACTACCAAGAAAAGATCGCTGTCTCACCGACAAAAAAACAACTTCTCTCGTAAAAAAAAATTGCAGCAAGACATGATGAGAAACAACATAGACGAAAGTATTTACGGTACTGAGCATTGCAAATGAAGGTGATAAGATGGTGGTGATGCCCTTGACAGTCGCTAGCTGTAGTATTTAGTGTTTGCGAAAGTCTGCGCCGACTGCATGAAATGTTGTAATGCTCGCTGACTTTTGTTGGATGCGTGACGCCCCTTCGACCCACCTCCCCTCCCTCTTGCTTCCCCATGTGGTCGACCTCGCACAAGCACGAAGCATAACAGTCAATGCATGAATGTCAAAAACACCAACACTTCTTCAATCCACCCAAAAGTACTACTGCTGTAGGAACAGCGGAGAAGCACTTGACCACATTGACCCATACAACAAAACCAAAACGCAAAAAAAATCATTCCAGCCTTTCGTCTTAAAATAGCGGATACCTTCATAGTTTCGATATGCAAAAAACTTTATGTATTGTCTAGACAACCAGGTGATAAAGGACGACACACTACCAATAGTACCGACAAGGAATGAAATAGATGTTCGACCCCGTTCAGCCTTCTTCCAAAAAAAGTGAAATAAAAACCACATTTGCACTTGACGCTTCACAAACTCGACAGACTTTGCTGATTATGTAGGTCAAATTAAAAATAGTAAGTCACACGCCTCCTTTTACGCCTACATTTTTGCACTACTATTTTATTTGTTAGGAGATTTAAATTTGGCAGGAAGTTGTTTTCATTTAAATTTGACCAAATCAAAACCATAAACCTGGTATCAGGTTCAACGTTACCCCACAGACGACATCGCTCCGTTGACATCGTTACGTCACGTTGGCAGCACATACTAACCTTGAATTATGCTTAACATATGCTGAGGTGGAGAGGTGTGTGTGAGATAATGATTTGAAACATTTATGGGGATCATATGTGCAGGAAAACAATTAATTAACAAATACGTAGATAGATAGGTCCTAAACAATTCCAAACATGGCAGCTTTTCTCATTCCACACCTTATTATGTATAATCATCGATACTGTTGTCTAAACGCCAAGGAGATCGTAGATGTCGTCATCCGCGGTTTTTTCTACTTTCTCTCTACGCGGTTCTGTTGTATTAGCCGCTGCTGTCGCCGCTGATCGACGCTTGCGTTGAATCTGCTCGCGTAAGGCTAGCAGTTTTGCCGGGGCGGTCAGCAGTGGTGGAGAGGGAGGTGACTGGATTTGTGGATGCGGTGGAGGTCGAGAAGGCGGGGTGATGACTCCCATCATTAACTGACTTATCCTTGTATCCAAATCCACCTGTTGTGAACGCACAAATCGGGGCGGAGGCGGTGGAGGAGGAGGTGGTGGTGGCACAGCACCCGAATCAACGCCTAGACGGCTTGCCACTTCGTCCACACGTGACAAGACATCCTTTGCGGTTTCTTCCGTTCGTCTACGAGATGCTGACACTGATGACGCTGTCGTAGAAGAGGAAGACGGAGCCACCGGAGGGGAGGTAGTCTTATTCCGTTCGGCCATTAATCGTGCCTCTGTGGCAGCCAAACGTGCTAATAAGAGATCCGCTTTTGCATCCAGTTCTGCGCGTAATGCCTCTAAAGAAAATTTCTTCTTCTCTTGAGCCTGTTCTGGAGACAAGTTGGCTGGAGGCGACTCTGTATTGCTTGCAGAAGGAGCTGCTGTTGTGAGAGGACGAGGGGGGAGAGGAGGCTTCTCAGACTTCTCGCGACGCAATCTTTCCGCAACAATTCCTTTGGCTTTCAGCACTTCTTCCTTGGAAGCCGCAGCCTGTATTTTTTGGAAGTAGGAGAGCGCCCTACTAGCCGCATCCCGTACTTCTGCAGACAGACGGTACTTTCGGCACTAAAAAGTATGATTAAACGCACTGCTACTATAATCACTGATTTTCAGACCATCGAAAAGCTAATACCATGACTTGGAAGAAAGAAGGCGAGCATGTTGGAGTGCGATGATTTTTAAACTCATGTCCAGAAAAATGGTGATCGAAATCAACAGAAAAGCGAAATCCATCAAACACAGAAAATCATCCCAAAATCCTCCTCAACTTTTTCGCCAAATTTTCACGACTGATTACTTGAGGCTTAATAGTCCTTTGCATTGACTTCCAGATCCAATTTGAACCGACTTTGATGCTGGCTTTCGTTATGTGCAAATAAGCAATGGGATTCAATGTTTCACACCAATTTGGAGTGGCGATTTTCTCGACGCCAATAGACGACAAACGATCATTGAGCCATGAAAGTTAAGCTATTGTCTTAGGGTGTGAGTAGCGCATGAGCTCAGATGCAGACAAGCATTTCGCTCCATAGAATGGCTGCCCCTAAACTTGGAGGATAATTTTTTTAGTAATACTAAAAACATTCTCATCCTAATCCCTCTTGTACCTACACGTATCGACAGTTTTCTCATTGTCACACTCATTCACATCAGGCAATATTTGAATGGTTATTTTTTGGAGGAGAACCGCTACCAGCAAAACGCTATGTGCTCTCCAGTCCCTAATTAGGTGATCCAGTTCTACCGACGACTGATCACTGATACTTTACCCCTGCTCTAAAGGACTTGGCACTCTGTAAACAAATTTGTTCCAATCATATACAACACTAACCTAGGAATAAGCAAGCTACATGGTTAAAAAAGTGATGGAAGCTAACCATATTTCTCAGAATACTTACTGAAAAAAATAGGTAGCGAATCAGCCAAAATTTCTCACTAAGGTCGAATAAGATCCGAATAATGGTGTTACTCTAAAAGTCGCAGGGTTACACCACACCTGCTGACACTATGAGTCACAGTCTCCACTGACATTATCGAGACATTTGTATTTTGAAGGATAACTTGGTAAACGCATGCCATTGATAAATGTTTCCGCTAATCATGTGATAAGATAACAGCAAGTCTTTACTGTCCAAAAGTGCTGAACAGCAGTTGCAATAAGGACTGAAGACGAAGAATATAAACTACCGGCTAGGAACACCTAATTCTTGGCTCCGCAAGTGCCAGTCAACTGTAAGCTGATTGAAACATTTTGTCGATTGGATATTAGCTACAGACAAAACATAAAAAGGAATGCAATTACACTGACAAAAGTGAACTTCTCACCTTCTTGACACAATCGGTGAGTTCCCACACCTTAGTAAGCTGAAGGAGCGAAACCTTAGTGGCACAGATGCGCTCTAAGACTCCAACTGCAGCGCCAAATTTCTCATGACCTCGCACAAGGTTCGATTTCAATTGAACGGTCAGATCGTGTAAAATTTGTAGCGTCTCGACATCTACCAGAAAGAGGAAAAATTGGCATCTCTATCGCTACTTATTGCAACAAGGTAGCACGAAAACACTTGCCAGACGGTGCAGTGCTCCTCGATGAAGAGCTAAAAAAATGCAAAACGATTTTGATAAAAGATTTCACCTTCTACCCAATGCCACAACAAGAAGAGACCTACCTAGCATGCTTCGTCCTTTTCGCTAATTCAGCTTCATCACAAAAGTTCCTTCGCCTAGAATTTATTGCATTTGTTTAATTTAAAGTACTAAAAGTTGCCGAAAATTTAAAGCAACAACTAAAAATTACATAGTCCGATCGTGCCCAACTGCATACTCCGAGACTTTAGCCCTATGTCGCGGACTATTTTTCAAAGAGCACCTGCTGTAATTAGTAAAAAAAGTGGAGAGATAATCCCATTAATGATAACCAACAATGAAGAAAAAACGCTCATAACGAGTAAACGCTTACCGAATGCTCCCATCTTTTCCTTCATCATCAAGTTTTCTATGAACATCAATATTTTTAGAAGAGTTTGAAGACCTTTTATTCACATCATCCGAACTTTCTCTGCAAATAAAACATATCTACGTCATCCCAAGCAAACATAATGGAATCACAATAGCTCAAAGGCTCACCGAACACGTTCTCCGGCTTCCTCATCATTACTAGCCTTCATCCGAGCTTCATCGCGCCCCACAGGAACTTCGCTACAATGTGAAGATCAAGTGCTGCATGAGAAGCGAAATGGTCGAGAAAAAGGCACTTCACCGAATGGCTTACCTGATGCAACCACCTTCAGCATCGCTTTTTCTCCACAAATCAAGGCTTTTCGATCGCTGTACACCCTCGTTTTCATCCGCACTTTTCCACTTTTTACTAAAATCGAAAATAATCGAATATAATAAGTTATCAAAGCTGGTACCGACTCTAGTTAGCTCAAAGCCCACCGAATATATCTTCCATCGCCCTCTATAACACAGCTGTCATGCGCGCCGCCATTTTTTGTATTGTAAGAACTGGATTCGCCAAAATCATCACTTCCTGAACTTTTACTACAATGCAAAGACAACCCGATACGATTGGAGTACAACCTGCGAGAATGATAAGCCATCAAATTGGTCAAAAACTCACCTGAAAATTTCTGCTTCGACACTTATTTGGCTACGCCGTTCAATGGAATGATTCAACAGGTCTATTGCATCGTCATCCATGGATCCATGATTTGCACTACACGTGAAAAAAGATTAAACATGACTAGAGCGAAAACGGTCTCAAAAATTAAAAAAACAAAAATATTAAATGGAACCCACATAGCGTGCTTTTCATCGCTTCCTGCAATATGGTTCTGGAGTATGTCACTATCGTTCAACTTAGGATCGTGGAATTCCTCACATTCACCACCCCTCGAGCCCTTGCTACAAATCAGAAACAATTAATTAGAACCAATGCAATTAGAAACAGCTAAAGTTGTTAAACCTCACCTTAAAAATTCCCTTTCACTACTACTACTAGTACGCATTCTAAACTCGCCCACTGCCTCCGACTTATCCACAAATTCGTTATTTTTGCCTCGGCAAAGGTTACTGAAACAAAAAAAAATACATATGGGATACATAGGATCCGTATAATATCAGCTTTAGTAACAACTAAGGCATACCGGATTTCTCGCCCTTTTGCCTTTTCAATATTGTGAGCGCTTCGTTTATCAGTCTTCTTTTGTTTTCGAATGTACCCATAACAGTAATCATAATCGTTAGGATCATCGTCATTAAGGTCATCATCATCCGAACCCTCATCATCACTTCTTGAACACCTACTAAAATGCGAATGAACAACAAGATTGCTTTTCGTCGCTGACTTGCTTCGTCTGATAAAAGTTCAGTACAATCAACAAAAGAAAAATCTACTAATGGAAAAAAACGATCATGAATAGACCAAGCACCTTAATCACTCGGTCACGTGCTAGGTGCGCCGATCAGATGATCTAATGCAACTACTAAGTGTATTGTGCTTGCAATATTTAGGCATACCTAACAAGAGAATTGCGCAATCAAAATTAGATGGGATTTCATATCCAATCGGTAATCTGATGTTAGTACGCAAAAAAAATGCTTAAACAAGGCTCCGGAATTCCCCATGCACTACACATAGTCCATGGCATCTGCAATCTTACCGGAAATACCTTTCTTCCTCCTCTGGTTCTGCATCCAAATCCACAACAAATCTATTCAGCTTTCCTCCTCTAATAATCCTCTGTGATTGTCGATGCTCGGGAGTCACGGGGTTTCGCACGATTTCTCCAGCTTCACTGGGCACATCCTTCTTGACTGAACTGACTTCTGACGAACTTGATGAAACCAATTCATCAGTGGTTTCCACACCAGCCTTCAAAGATACATGGCCATTATAGGATTCTTCGACCCTATCATTAATAATGTTCTCCACCAAAATTTTGCTGCCATCATTTGGCAAAATCTCAGCATGCGACTCTTCTACGACTTCTTTGGAAGGAGTGGAATCGATTGTTCTGAAATCTGCGACCATTGTTCTATCCTTCACCGCTTGGGAGACTGACTTCTCTGCATCGAAATGAAAATCTAGTTCAGCCTCCTTTACGCGTTTGAGACTCTCTACCAGATCATTACTCTCGACTTCGGAGTGATGTCGTTTCCTAGAAGTCCACTTATCGACTTCACTAGCTCTAAGGTATTCCTCCTCTTTCTCCAGACAAGTTCTGAAAGGACATCTTAGCGATTGGTATTTTTGATATTAGAATACAAACATATGCTAAAAAACGTACTCTTCTTGCTCACTCATTGGCTCCATTGTTCGAAGCAAAACCGCATCCACTGAATCACTGGTATGAAAAGAGCGACAAAATAAGTTGACAACACAAAGATTCCCAGCAGGCGGACCTACAAGGTACTCACCTTATAGGTGACATGCTATTCAAATCATCGTCCTGGTCACTAGACTTGCGGCGTTTCGTTAAATGAGCACGGGGCGGTCTTGATGCTTTCCGCTTAGAAGCCTTCTTTGTGACTGGGCTGTTGGATCGAGACAACCTGCCACGAGTGTTGTCGATCTCCCGCTCCATTTCGCCACATTCACGAGGGTAAAGAGACTCCCAAAAAGCTTCAGCAGCAGGATCCTTCCCGAGAAGCAAAACTTCTGGGTCCGACTCAATCTCTATCATAGCTTTGATAAGGACTTTACGCTTTCCATACGCGTCTTTATGGTCTTCAAAGCTCACCAGATTCTTAGGACTTAAAAATGACCTACATAAAGGGGAATAGTGCGACAAAGGTAACTGACATACACTTGATGAGTGCCGTAAAAGAAAACTGGTACTTTACCCTTAGGTAGTTCAACATGGGGAGGTAGGGGGTCGACCTACGATGCAAAAATAGAAAAGAAATACGACAAACCCTTGCGGGCCAGAAGGGAAAACCCTTCATTTTCGCAAACACACGGTCACCGGGATGAAACATCTCGAGAGCAACAGCCACAGTGGATATTCGAACTATTCGCCAAGTCGCCAAAGCAGTATAGTATGTTAAAGAGTCAAGTAAAACAAATTGTGCGACATTAAAAGGTCTTGTGAAATAAAATTAAAAAAAAGTAAGCATCCTTTGGAAAACGAAGGTTGCGAAACTGTCGTCAATCATGATAGAAACGTGAGTTGTATCGCAACTGTCAGGACAGTGCTTGCATAGCTGTGAAAAAGCAGTACTTATGCTAATGAATGGGTCCCCGTTTATCAACTGCGAATACTAAATTTTTTATACACGGACAACAGAATGTCAACGACGCTCTGTAATTCGAAAGTCTGAATATTTGTCGACCACTTTGTTGGCCGCTCTTTTCTCGCTGCATAAGTATCATTTTAACACAGCTATAACGTCGCTTCTACACTTTCCGTCAAACTACGCGTAGTTAGCCAGGCCAAGTTCCCTTTAGTTTGATTAGAATTTTTTAAAACGTTTTAACTAGAGCAGCGCTACGCCTAGAGTTGAGCGGAATACATATGTGCTAGGGAGAGAAAAGGGATTAAGCCTGAGATCTGCCCAAAGGCCACCTCACGTGTGCAAGGGCCAGACCAATATGAGACCAACCGTCCAACACCAGGTGGTCAAAAATAAAAAGCATTACATCTCCTGTAGAGCCTTCCTACCTATCGCAGGCACTTTAACCTCATACTTCAAGAGAAGGCTAGTTGAGGAAGCTTGTTTAAGCAGTATGCATAGAAAGCAAAGAAATGGAGGCGATCTGATAAGGCGGGAGGCCGATGGCACTCTTGGAAGGAATCTTCACACTCCTTATGCACTGGATTCGTGTTCGATTTGACCTCTTGCCTTTCTCGCATAAGAGCAAACTTAACCACACTAGTATATTGCACATTCCACGATAAATTCATTCATTCTGAGAGAGATTTTTATTGCTAAAAAAGGGGCCGATCAAATTCTTTCGTAGTTACGAGTTTACTAGAATGCCATCGCCGATATCTACATGGTAATGAGGTAGGAAGAAATCTGCAGCGTGGTTTCCCTTCTTAATCATTTACCAGTGGAACAGTAGTATGGATGTAGTGCCAAATGTGGACGATGCTTTCAGCCCTTCTGCTGCCAAGACGTGTGGAATTCTTCTGCCCGATGTGTATGAGTTTCATTTTGCACGATAGGAATTTGTAATAGACGGTGAAAGCTAGGATAGAAAAGGTAACAAAGTGGAGTTCGCTTTTACTGTCGTCAATGTAGCGACTTAAGACGTTCTGTGTGTTGACAGAAGGCATTAGGCATTACTGAATCACTTGTATTCTGAGCGAGGGGAGGGGAAGTCGGTTATACTGTGAAATAGCCTCATGACCAGGTCATCCAGCCTAAAGCACGGTGAATACTAAGGTGATCACCGATCTTGCAAGTAGTCGGATAAACAAGGCATTGCATGGCAATCTTTGATCCGCAAAAATGCGATCACATCATCCCGTTCGAGTAGCTTTCCTTTCCTTTCCCCACACACTTAGCATAACTTGATATTTTCCATCATGATCAGAGCTATTCACCAAACATTTTTACTTTTGGGAGCCTTTTCTTGCTCTCTGTTTCCACCAGATACAGTTACACACCTTTACCTACCTTAGGTTCCCCCATTAGCAAGACAGTGTTTTCACATTGAGTGATCACAAAACTCACCACTCCTGTTTGGATTGTTTGTTTGACTAACGACATCAATTGGAGTTACCTCAGACAGCCATTTAGCCACAGTCGAGTAAACCGACCTTTTATGCAATTCCATTAGCTCGATCGACCTTCCCTCTTGCCGATCACACAACGTACTCATGGTAGTGATATACGAACTTGACTTTGAAACGACCTCTCCCTCTCCTTTTACGGTGCGAGTGAAGGACACAAGCCGCAGGCCTTTAAGGCTTCAATGTTTCCACAACGGAGTAGCCGAGAATGACGCCCGTTTCAAAAGAGAAGTCATTTTTTGCTCTAAACAAGGGAGTTGGTCAAAGCAGAAGCGGCATGTCCGCGAAGCAGGTATAAATGTTATACTCAGGCGTCATTCTCACTCCTCCATCTGTATGCAAATGACAATAGGGCAAAATTTCACAAAACTCCATCCTCCGAAGTCTGTGTAAAGTCGTCAGATCTGGTTGAATTCGCCTAAAGGCTCAGTAACACTGACAGAGTTGACTATAATCTTAATAAATCTTAATTTTTTCGTCTAAAATATCACAGTACCTCCATTCCATCATATGCATAGGCATGTCCTGGCAGAGTTATCATTTTTCTCCCCTAAATTGCTAAGTGACGATTATGTCTGGTCGTGAAGGGAGTCTCGCAGGCTGTGGGAAGCATGTGCTTACTTTCTTGGAGTTTACCATTGCAAAGTAGCCGCCTACCCTCGGCTGGTGCGATCTCGTTAGGGAGAGCTTGAGAATTGCCTCAACTATTGGCCATACATCTATTTGAAAGAGCAAAAAGCAAAATAATTTTGCTCGGAATACAACAGACTTTCATGATTAGCATTTGGGACTTAAACACCAGCCTTACGAAGGTGGTCACCACCGCGCTAAAGTCGATCGCTGCGACACATGCAAATCATTGCATAGGTTGTCACAAAACCTCTACTAAAATCAAATAAGTAGGATATTTTTAAATTCGAATAACTAAACGCTCCCAAACGGTCAAAAAATCTTAACACTGTAGAAAACTTTTAACCTGTTAATGTTACCCATTGACAGTAAAGCAGCATGTCGTCTATCATTAGTGATAGTAAATCAAGCTAGAACTCACGACTCGAATACGTTTAGAGACTACAACCAAGCAATTTCACCCCAAAGCCCCGCGATTTTTTGCAAGCAGTCAGACTTAAAAACATCACCAGTTTCACTACATACACAAGCAACTACTACCCTGTCAAATAATAAATAAATTTGGAAACCGCAATAACTGCCTTGTTCCCTATAGCTTCATCCATTGCGAGGAATATCGTGGTAGCAGACAACCTTACGAAAATGGCATAGCATTATTCTCGTTGGAAGCGTACTCACCTAAGATCGGGGTTAGTTGTAGGGAACACGACCATAGTAACTTTCGCGATTTCTAGTGACACCTATCGCAGTTGTTCAAAAGAACGAGAATGTGCACAGACACAAAAGTCAGAGGTGAAAAACCAACATCTCGTCCAATCGACTAGGATGAGGCTAGAGAAAGATAAAAGCGTTCACCTCATATTCCTTACAGAATAGTTCATTGAGAACGACGTTCTGTCTTTTGGAATGGAGTAACCTCTGCCTTAACAGTGACCTGAGGCAGCCTGCAGGTGGATGACTCCTCAGGTGAAGCCTCCTTCTCGAGGGTGAATGAAGCTTGACACCGACGTAAGTGGAACCCATTCGCCCTGTTTCTCCACGATTTAGGTCTCAAAATCTACGCAACTTCTCCATCGCCTCATTCATGCCGAAAAGCATTTCAGTTTGCATCACGCAACAGTTACCGTTTAGTTAAGCAAAAGAAGAATTTAGATTGTGGAAGAGAGTGAATGGTTGGTGTACTGTGGAGTGGAAGACTTTTCACAATTGCATTTTCTCCACTTCAGTGTAAGGTGGTGGTGGTGGTAGTAGTGGTGATGGTAGTGGAGGTGCTGAGGGTTCAACGAATACGCCCGTGGGAGGATATGGAGCGGGTGGGAGGACTCGAGGCAGTCCCATCGCCAAAGCCATGGGTGGCGGTGGGAGCGAAGGCGTTTTCTCGAAGTTGTGCCTTGGATACTTCATCTGCACGATGGATGGATGGGAAAGGTCAGCATTAGACGTCGGATGATGCTACTGTTTTGAATAGAATTCTCGATTCGACTGGATCGCAGTCTTCAGTGCAGGAGGGAGAATGTTTGAGGCGCACAAATGGCACTTAATTTAGTCTTTAAAAAAGGGCGGCTTTGGTAATATACACTTTACCTACATTAAATTAGTAGCTATTTAAAATAAAAATCTCAAATAGGTTGCTCATGGAAAAGTAGCCGCACAAAACGGAAGCAACAAAGGCTTCCTGCAGAGATCGGTTTTTTTGCCTTGAATTTCGCCTGCGCACTGATGCTCCACTTCATTCCTTCTGCCAAATTCAAACGCTTATTTTGAATATAGAACCATTAAAGCCCTCATGAATGCATTTGTTTTGAATGTAGATGTTGACTGCTCTCAAGTCGATGAAGATTATCTTTATTGTGTATGAAAGATTTTCAAATAATTACTTTTGTTAGAGCTTCAGCACTCTTGGGATGATAAACGACAGACCCAGATCGAGATGAGAGGAGCTTAATGAACGTCGGGCAGTAGATGGAGGTAATAATAGCGAAGGAGGCACCGAGCACCGTAAAGAGAATTCCGCAGGAGCGACCAATGCTTGATCTAATTGTGTTAAAGAAGAAAATTACGAATAATGATTGCTTCTTATTAGTAGAACTAAAAAAAGTGAAGTGCTTTGTAATTCAAGCGACTAGATCCTCATTAGAGCATTAAGGCTCTGTAATGAGATCTAATATTTGCAAATCTCCGCCACTCCCTAAGGATTTGTGATCTAATAGACCTAGCCCGTGACGACTTCTAGCATGAACCATCTTCGACATCCCACAACAAAGATATTAACTTAAATATGTTATTTGCAACTCGGGAAATCACTCGTAAATGTAATCCTCCACATATTTAGTTCAGCAAGCTCGTCGAAACTCAAAATAAGAGACTTCTTTGATCTGTTACTACACCTTGGTACTGGCATCAAAATAACCCTTGGCCTAAGTTAAAGGCACAGATCTCCCTCAATGCCACGCCTAAATATGCGAAAGCAAAGCTAACTAACAGGTCTCTGTACGCACTTCCTCCATTCTGTTAGTAATGCCAGTGTTCTGGCAGTGACACCTACCAGAGCGGTCTTCGAAAGATCATGTTAGTGTGCTTTAATGCAAAAGCAGTACTAAGTGCGTGGTAATCGCGAGGGAAACCGTTAACTAACCCTGTGGAAGGCCATGCATCATTCCCGTAAAGGGCTAAGAAAATCGCTTCTTGATAAGTTAGCCTGTAATCCAACAAAAAAATAACGATTCATCACAATTCCTTTTAAATTGTCAGAAATCAATTTTCACTGCTTTCTTCTCTGAAGGTCCCACTCTAGGGTTACGCATTTGTGCCACTAATCGCGTTTGCTTAAGATTGATTAACCGATTTACGTATAGAATTGTTTTGCATGAAGAGGTAGAAGCACTAATCCATCACCAATCATCAGCTTACCCGTCAGGCTGATGATACCTAACCAGAAGGAAGATACCCAATGAAAGAAAGCAGACCGCGAGGACGAAGAAGACGAGGGTTCGGATCTTGAGGAATTTTCGATATCGGTTTCGCTTCGCCTCCTCGTCTCGAGTGGGAGAGATGGGAAGGTGTTCCACACTGCGTAAGTACTTTGGTCGCGGCACCTCGGTGTCCATCAGCACCTATAATCAACCCTGAGGGTGTACATTTCATTCCATTGTCGATTCGGACGATGATTGGTTAACCCTTGACCAATCGGGTGGTGATATGAGTTAACCATAAATTTGAGTGTAATGAGAATTAGGCCCTCTTTGCAGTTTTTTTAACAATGCCTTTCTTCCATGGTTATCTTTTCTTAACTTACTGGATAAATTGGACAGTACATCAGTGACTTTATGCATTTTCCTTTACAAGCATCAGCTTTACAATTCAAGGGCATCTTATTAAGGCGTAATCATTCGTCTGTCGTGCTTACTTCCAATACCTGTGTTAAAGGCTAAAGCCTACCCGAGATCGCTGATATTGTAGCCTTAAAGATGGCATAACCGTCATGTCAGAAGCGTTATGCGTTTATTTTAGCCAAATTCGTAATCTAAACAAGGCATCGATTGGTCTGATTTCGAGTAAACATTGTTAAGCTGAACTGACATGCCATGCGAACAGGTGTATGGAAAAACGGAAAACAAAAAATGATTCCACTTCTAAACTCATAGCAGATCAGGTCATTTGTTGATGGTCACGATTGATCTGTGGTGCATACTGATTACAATTTTATTTCGCCAAAGTATTAAGCCCTCGCAATCACCTTACCTTGAGTGGCGCTCAGTCGTCAACTCTCATGACACTTCCACGCCTTGTAGGATAGCGCGAAACTCCGATAGAGGGCTTAAGAGATTCAAGTGAGTCTGTCGCTTTCGTTGATGAGTGATACTGTGACAGGGGATCAGTAATTGCAGGATGTTGAGAAGTTTCGATGGAATGCCACTCCCATTCTATCACAACAGCTGCTTCTCCTCAAGACGACTTGGTAACCCTTAGACCATCTTGTGACCAACCCACCATGAAAATCCCACTTCTTGTAGGGTAGCTCGAAACTCCGATAAGTGTCTTTAGAGATTCCATTGTGCTTGCAAAGAAATTGTCCCCAAGTTTCCGGTCTTTGTTCAGATAAAATTCCTTTCTCCGCATGTCTGCGGTCACAGCATGCCTGGTATTGGAGAACAGGTGTAAGGCTCGCCGAATCAAATGACTCACGCTCAGTATCGATTTTCGGCCATAAACATTATCATTAGAGTGCATCGATTTTTTGCAATGGTGGAATAAGTGTGGGCGATACTGCAACGGTCGGCTTGCTGGTCTCACACCTTTGAGTGCGGGTCGGCAATGGCGACGGGGGCGATGGTGTTGCAATGAAACTGCCTGCATTTTAATGAGTCGCAATAGACACTGATATGGTGGCGGTGGATTAATTACCAACACCGACTGTGACTCGTCGTAGTGTTTCATCTGCTTTACTTTACTGTTGTGGTGGATGAGTGAGTAGGTTGTCAAATGACGGAAACAAAGAATGAATGAATACGTGATTAGGTGTAAGTTAAAAACACAGTTGGGTGCAAGTTCTGTTGGTCCTATGCCAAAATAGTGTAATCTTAACACGACACTGGGTGGCGTATTGGAGGTCTTTTATGGTAGTTAAGAGACAAAAGTGTGTGAAAAGCGTTATAATGCTGTGTAAATGGACCTACTGAAAATGCACTGCAGTCTTTGGAACCAAATGGTGCTTCCATCCATCTCAGACGATACTTACCCAAAAAGAATTCAAAGAAATTTTGATTATGCAATGTTTAAAACTGGCTAGCCATGACACGCTTTACTCCATGCTCCAGGAAGTCAGCTCCTCAGTATCATTATCAGCTATTTGTCGGAAAGTCAAAACTGCAATTTTTAAGATTATTCCGTGGGTCAACACATCCAAGAATATTGTCAAGAAGACTGTCACCATGTCAGGACGTCTAAATAGTGCATATAGGACAGAACTCTGCCTCAATTTATAGTAAGTACCCGTGATGGAAATCGAAAATAAGATTATCAAGCACGGACAAGCATACCTAGTCAAAAACATTGCTCTACTCCTGGATCTTCGTCTAATTGATGTGTAAATTACAAAAGAAAACTTTCGTTAACTGTCACAAATAAGTACGCCTACTTATTTAACATCAGTAAAACTTCTTAGTCGAGGCATATTTGTAGACATCAGGTGCACCACAGATGATGTGACTCAGCCAGCAGTGAAAAATAAACATTGATAACCCTAACCTCAAACAACGACATAATTGCCAAGGCTACAAGAACTCCCCCTCCCTCATCCAACAACAAAACCTGTGATACCATGGTCACACGGTCACGGCACTAAAAGGCAGCTCGAAAGCAGTATACGAAGTGATGGGATATGCTTTCTCTGATCTCTCCACTTCGAGGCCCTCAATCCCCCTTCATACCATCTCAAAAACAACTACCAGATGTAATATGAGGAAGGAAAATAAAAAAAATTGGTGCATTCTCACTCTTTTGGAATTTGAATGCTTGCGGAGCGGTCAGATGCACGACAAGTCATCTGCAGAACTCTCACAGGCTACTTGATGAACACTAGGTTGACAGTCAGTCACTTCGTCATCACCACCAGTCAATTTTCAGTGATACCACTGAGACGCAATCCGATCAACGTCAGCCCGTGGATCGCCCGCACAACGAGAGAAATGACATCACTCCGCCAGTAGGTCATTCATAATCAAGCCATCACCTACACATTCACCCACGTCCATCTACTCATGCACACCTCAACGACAGAGGCAGGATAGACTGAGTTGGATTTTTTCAAGTCCTTTTCAAACCCCACCCACTAACCTCAAGACTCCCATAAAGAATTAATCAATCCCATTGCAGCACTGTCCAACCATCCTTCAAGGTCTCTGTAATCCATCCACCAGCAACCATTCAAGACCCGTCACTCTGTCCACTCATCCCGACTTCTTACCACTATCCATAATCATACCGTCTTCACCTCTATGGAGGTCAAAGGGACATACACACAGAAAGAAAGAAACAGAGGGAGGAGGTGTAGGAGTGAGACAAACTGAGCATTAATTTCACCTTTCCGGGACAGAGAAAAACAAAATCAAATTGAAGCCATTTTCACGCAGGTAAAGGCGAGATTGGGGGACGGAGAGAGGGGGAGACTGAAGGATAAAGGAAGAGTGCAAAGTCAAAACGACAACATCCGCAGCAAATTATGGCAATGGTGACAATAATGACGGGTTGTGTGTTTGATGAAGGCGACGTTGGTGGCTATACAAACAATCCAACTGCGAATCAGCACATGCGAGTGAATGCAAAAGAGGAGAAGGAAATGAGGGAGAGACAGAGAAGGGAGCGGATGTGAATAAATGGAAAACGAATTTATACAGATACGTGGGATGCAGACAAATGCAACCTCCAGACACGCACACACACACACACACACGCAAACACACTCGAGCGCATAGTGATTCTGTTGGGGACGCTGAAATAGCAGTTAGCATATGTATAGACGAGAAGTAGGGCGCAGCGGAAGAGTTAGGTTGAGGAGCCACGGCGACTGCATCGACTTGTGGATGTGCTGGCGGTGGGAGCTGCAACACTTGGAGGTGGAGGGGAGATAGTGGAGTGGTTATTGGAGGGGAGCGTCAGACCTGAGCGTCGAATGGTCTCCACCACGGTGGCAGGAAGGTAAGCCAATTCTAAAGGCGTGCACACATTTGGATCGAGTTAAGAGCACGTACACTGATCCACGCTGGTGGAGGGGAGGTGCGTGATCGCCTATTCGAGAGTTTGTGTTTACTCCGATTTATGATTAGTTTGACCCTGATGGAATACTACCACATGCAGATACACTTCATATGTACTTATATCCTACCTTTCAGGTCAAGGTCACCGAGTATACACGCAGATCACCACCAGCAGTGAACACGCTTCTGAAGTCTTCATAAATGCCAATCCAAATTAACAATGATGTCGGTTGGCAATCCTAACAAAAAGAGGATTACCCCACACATGGAGACAAAATCAGTCAAGTTGCTTCAACACCGATAAACTTGTCAGTCCATGCTATTCAACATTACGGCAAAAGACCTCACAGCTCTGCTCGTATATTAACTTTGGAATGGAGCAAAATCGTATCCCTCGATCACATAAAGTGACATCCCAGCATGCTGGAAAGGCTCGACACTTCACCACTGCCATTCATTGCCCTGAAGGTGGAACTCGACCTCGCTCGCATTCCCCATGTCAAGGAGGAGGAACAAGAAAAACGCAAAGAAGTGCTACTTGTATGCTGCCTTAAAGGAGCACAACCTCCCCATCCCTTATATTATTAATGACGATGGCAACAAAGGCAGTTTCTTGGCACAAGTCGCACTTGAAGCCAATCATGGAGTCGATGGGGTTCTTGCGGAAGGAGTGATGCCTGTCTCTCAAGCCAAAACAGCTAACAAAGCCACTCTTCACAGAAGAATAAGTAAATCCAAAAGCCAACTTTAACGCTTTGCCTTCTTGACAATGCGACATGCTCCTCCAAATCACTCATCGTCAATTCAGGCTGCGGAGCCAACAAGTTTAATTGAAATTGTGTGCGTTTGACCGCCTAACAGTATCGAGGCTAGACTATTCACAGATGCTCTGAGGTGTCGCCTCGCCGTCACCTTACCGGGATTACACATACATTTCGACATTTTTACAAGACCAAATTAATATGCGGTGCAGTAACAAGATATCACCATCACCAAGCATTGGAATTGACCTCTCACTACTTAATTTATCGTCTGAAATAACACAGCTTGAGGCATTTTAGGGCAACAGAGCATGAAAAGTTAGGCTTCAAGAATGAAACACCTTTATGGCTCAAAGTAATGACGGTGTTGAAGATGTGCATAGAAATGCAGAACTTACCTTCTTCACTGAAGGGCTCAATGGGTTGAAGTCCAGTCAAGGCGGACTCTGATGGATGGTTGGGAAGGGGGGAGGAGGAGGAGGAGGAAAGAGCGAAAACTTGTTGGAAAAATGGTGAGGCCATCGCATCAGCAGCAGCCTGACGTTGAGACGGACTGTAGACCAGGAGGGCGCGCAGAAGATCGAAGGCATCTTCGCATTGTGAACGATTTGTGATAAGCTGGAGGGGGCAAAGTGATCATTTGGCACCACCAAATTTGACAGCACCTCGAAATCGGCATACTCTCTACACACGGTAAGGCTACGAGGAGTCCCACTTTCAAACACCTATTGTCCTCCTCTCCTTTGGTGAAATTTTACCCACTTATAAAGCCCCACTACACTTTTTGAATCACTGCTGTCTTCTTTGATGTGTAATACTGTGACAGAGTGGTCAGTAAGTGAAGGATATTGCAAAGCACCGATCAAACGCCACTCCCATTCTACCACTACAGCTACTTCACCACGAGGCGGCTTAATGTTCTCCAACTTCACGTCTCTACTTGGCCGATTCAGTGTTCCGACGAGGCTTCCGACACGCAACATCAGGTGGGACGTTAAGTAGATCCCTTTTCCTATATGTGACGAAGGTGTTAACAGAGAAGTCAGGAAATTGAAATAGCAGCAACTACTTTAAAAAACCGTTTCATTGGAAAAATGACCAAGGGTTTGAGTACAACCATCAAGTAAGGAGAAATTGTTGTTCCACATGCAAATAACGAGGCTATGAGGGCGAACCACTCCAAAAGGAAAAGAGTAAGGCGAATGAAACTCTGGGGGGTTTTACAACAATTGAATGCGATAAGGACAAAAAGGTTTCCCATGGAATCAGAATCAGCCCATTACAAAAAGAAAAAAAGGGGAAGGCGGATCGGTAGACGTGCTACAACCTGGGACATTCAAAAACTGAAGATTAAAACTCCTATAGGGAGTAAACTTCAGCCAAACTGCAACACCTACACTTGAAGTGGTCAGTGAAAGTGGAATAGAAAGGGAATGCTGAATTAAGATTACACTTATAATTGCTTCACCAATTCCACAATCCCATGACACTCTGCACAACCCACCGTTATAAAGTTCGGAAGATGTTGCACAAAATGTTCAGATGATCTTAACAAGACTGAATCGCATTTATGCGTGTTTGTGAAAGGACACAGGGATGGAGGATGCGAGGAAATTAACGCCTCAGTGCTATGGGAAAGTGAATGGACTATCAGAATGACTCGACAATCCGATTTACTTGAGATGTACACACAAACATGCGCGCACTCAAAATAACAGCACCAAAGTTGCGCTAAAGGGTACAGCACTGCCGAAGTGATGCGCAAAAGGCAAAGACATAGGCGTTACCTTCTCCCACGGGCAGGACTTTATCCCGGGGAAGACGAATGTGCTGTAGTGTGGATTCATTTCCTTCACTTGATCAAAAGTTGGCGTGCCCAGAACTTTGATAATCTCCACCAGTTGATCCACACCCGAGTCGCCCGGAAATAGTGGACGTCCAAGCAGCAGTTCACCAATCACGCAACCAGCCGACCACATGTCTACAACGCACCGCCTAATCACACCAAGGACAGATTTACAACTCACCTATCCTCACAGTGTATTGGGTGGCTCCAAAAATCAGCTCCGGTGCCCGATAGTAGCGTGAACAAATGTAGGAGACATTTGGTTCGCCTGGAACCAGCACTTTTGTACTAAAAGATGTAATAATATAGTCCATATAAAGCCTGTCACCGTAGAAGGAGTTTTAATAAGAGTTGTGCTACTGGACACACACACACACACCTTCCAAAGTCACAAATTTTCAAGACTCCAGTTTCTGGATTGACTAGAAGGTTTTGGGGTTTGATATCTCGATGGCATATATTTTTGCTATGCACGTAAGCCAGGCCACGGATCATCTGGAAGCCGTAAAGCTGAAAAGTAAACGATTGCGAAATCAAGTGCTGGATGAGGATTCCATTGTCAAAAGCAAAAAAGCAATGTTTGTATGGTAGAGCCTAACAAACCTTGACATAATTCATGGGAATGGATTGTCGAACGTGCCAGTAGTGCTTGACAACACGACTGAGAGCCTGAGGAACGTATTCTTGAACGAGATTGAGATAGTTATCCTTAGGTTTCTGAAGTATGCAAGACAAATACCATTGGTTGACCAGCCTTGACCAATTGTGACGGTGGTGCTAGTTATATCACCACCACCACCGCCAATCGCAACACGTTGGAACTAACTCCTCACACCATAACTGACTGAAACATGTCAAAACTGAAAGCTAACGAAAGTAGTGTCTTGCATATAAAACTTAATCACAAGCGACAGTGAAATGGTGCTAAAAGCGATGAAAGGAAACAACAAATAATACAATTAATCTGCGATTACACAAAAACATAGCAGAGACATCCATTAAACCACGAGGTTTATCCTTCTCAAGAGTGAGTGATCAAAGATAAAGCACCTGAATCGTCTTCATGTATGTGTCAGCATGTTGAGGAGTGTCAACTGTTTAAGTGCCAATGAGAGAATTGCCAACACCTACAGCGACAATAATCTAGGCAACAAATAGTTGAATTTACCTGCTTAAGAGCAAACCGTGAGAGACGAGTTCAGTGTGGAAGTAATGTCCTATGGTTATACTGAGACACATGCCCCAAGTTGTGTAGTAACGGAAACCAAGACTTGGCCCCCTAGAAGTTGGGGGAATCAGCCGACCAAACAACAAAAGAATATCATGTGCAAATTAATGCAGCCAATGTGATCCATGCTTCGCAAAAATGGTTGACTCGAATGGAGCACATATTTTAACAAGCGATGCCTACATGAGCAGACCTCCAGGGCAAAAAAGAAACAAGGTGAAGGGCTCTGCAATAAAAAAACGCTTAAAAGTACCCGAAACATTACCTGAACAATAACGCACTGGTAATAATAATATATGTTGCGCGACGAGCCGCTCGTATCTCACACTAAGCTGCAACATACATCAAATATTTCCCACTCAAGTTAAAAAAGTTATTCAAACTGCGAACAAAGTTTAACTTCAGGCAGATACAGAAAACCAAGAACTTCGCATAAATTTGACGAAAAACGCAGAACAAACTCGCTTACAGAGCTGCCTGTGCTTTCAGAGGACGATTTTTCCTCCAAGGACGGCTTTCGCTAAAAATCATCCGCACTTATGTGCGATTCAGGACACAACTCAATATACCAAGAAATTGGGGTAACCAAAATGGAAAAGTTTGCAGAGCACCGGAAACCACAGAAACTCACTGATGAACTGGATGAGCTTACCACCTCGGATGAAACAGCTTCCTACCAATTCACGACATTCACCAAAATTTAATAATCGCAAATGCGCAAATATAGAAAATGGAGGAAAAATACCCAAGAAGTTGACTCACAGATGCTGCAACGGAGTAGAAATAGTAGAGAAGTGAAACAATGTTTGGATGCCTGAGTTCACGAAGTATCTGAAGTTCGCGATTCTAAAGCCAGGAATCCAGGCGATAAGTAAGCAATGCATGTTGCAAACCATGCCCCTACCCAATATACCTTGTAGCGCTTATCTTGTAGGACCTTTTTGATCGCAACTTCGCGTTCGCCGTCTAGTAGAGCTACAAATACCATTCCAAAGGAACCACTGCCAATAACCCTGGAGTTGTTGTACATTATCCTTTTATGTTCACCGGTAACAGCGTCCACGGCATCCACGTAGACCGGTTCATTGCCTTAAAATGAAACAAAGCCAGAACTGCAGTAGCAAGAGTTTTGACTTATTATGAAAAGCAGAGTAATCCCTTAGGCAACTAACTGACCATCCAAGTATGACATTTTAAAGCAAACTTACCTGAAGAGGACTCAAGCTTAGAGTTCTGACGCAACAGGCCTAGGACAAGGGAATTGCGCAAATCAATCTCCTTATTATTCTTTAAAAACCCCTGACAAAGTAAAAACTCACGAGGTATTTTTGAAGAAGAATTACGGCTGCTGTCATTAGACGGCGTAATCTGCTGTCTTGAAGACATAGCGAACCAGAAACTATACAATAACAACAACCGGCATAATTAAGCCTAATCAACTTTTGGAGAAAGCGGCCGCTAGAAACTCCCTAATTGGAGAGGTATAACAACAGTCGCGATATTTTAAAGGACGAAAGTTGCATTGAGTTACAAAAAACGCTTAATTTTTAAATTTTCGCATGTGTAAAAAAATTACTTTGCTACAAAGAATACTTATTTAATAACTTGTTCATTTAAAACACCTTTAAATTACGCCCTTTCAGTCCATTCATTTAAGATGGCTTAGTGTGATTCAGCGATGTCTGCCCTTTTTTCCAGAGCTAAAGCCAGTACCAAGCTTCCTAAGACCTATCAGTTTGTTACTGTATCGGAAAGGCTGGACTATAATTCGTTTCGGACAGCTCGGATAATAGTGGACCTCGGAGAGAAAGTCAATCAGGTGGAAGCAAGGTATTTCCCAAAGTGATTGCGAGCAGTCCAATGAACTTGACCTTACAAACGTTGGTCTGTGAAACACTAGGGAGCAAGCTGGATTCCATAGTACTTATGTTTTACGGTGAGATTTTCACATTTTGTGAACAAAAACTCTTCGACAATTTAGCGCCTCCAGACTTTTTTATAGGTAAAAGAAGGTATTAAGTTAAGCAGAATACATGTATTTTATAAGAAGATGGAATGGTCGGTGACGTAGTCCAACGACCATCCCAAAAGTGTTAGGACAGCACTACTACCTATAACGTTTTTAGTCTAACAGATCAAAAAAATGACAACTGGGAGCGTAATCTCTAAAAACAGAATAATCATTGCCAACTTACGGAAGTGCATAGGGAACATCCTGATAAAGTCGCTCAATGACCGAATTCTTAAATAAGTAATTCCCAAATTCGTGTCAGCAAAATCCCAATACGCCGTGGGGCTCAGTAGATCCTTCCTAGGAGAACTGCTCCTTTCTACTATTTTCTAACAGTTAACGTTTAATTTTAAGAGGCCTTTTTCTAATTTAGGTGACAGGAAATTGTTGAAGCCTTTTATGTTTCCCGCTAGCCCCAATATCAGATTTCCGGATGAATTAATGAGATGCGCACACTCATAATGCAAACAGGAAGGCGTCATCTTGCTGTCGAAATCTTTGCACCATACCTTCGATCTCCTCGTATTAAAAAAATAGACGTCAGCTTACTTAGGCTAAACTTATCTCAAGACTTTTGCCAACATTCTTCGGACGAGGTCGTCGACACTGGTCAAGAAACAGCGTCAACGTCAAACCACGTGTTTAACATGCAATTGCCATCGATCTTCCTCCACTGTCATGCCGTCGTTCTCATTTTTGCACGTGTTTGCTGCTGCTAATTCCATCTAGTCATGTTGGTTAGTAAAAATTTCCCCTCTTTTCATTACCTCCAACTGATTTATACTGAGCAATAATTTGCGATTCCTTTTTCATTAATTTATACCATTAGAATGCCATTTACTTTTGTCAGCTTTTAGCGCAAATGATATTTACAAATGCGTATGAATTTAAAAAAAAACATGTGGAGGAATCTTGCTACTTCACTCCATTAATTCTCCTCCTCGAATGCTAGCACTCATTAACTTCGGAAATTCAACAAGACGAAAAATATTTAGCATTGATTAAGTCTAAGCCCTTTGTGTCCTTATAGTGTGGGTCTTGAAATACGAATTTTTTTCCTTGTTTTTCATCTACTAACCGAATGACGGTGTGCCTATTGGAAGTTAGTGAATTGCACTTGATGTTCAAGAGTATTGCGACTTGAGCGGTGGGGAATGGCTACTCATGAGGGGACCATGGGTGACGCCAAAATGGAAGAGAAGGCAATACTTGGCAGGAAAGTGCAGTGCCTATGAGCCTGCGAGCTACTAGCTTGGCACCAAAATCGCGCTCGTCTGGCGCTCCACCACGTGTCGTGTCCCATCACTAAAACCATGTCTTGAGCACCACACGTTAAAGTAGGAAATGTCATCAAGCCTTTGGATGGTGGGGAGTAATTTATGAATAAAATGAAGATAACCATAGCTTCGGTTGGTGCTGCTACTAAAATTGTGCTTCGCTGTCGTCCAAGTTTCAATCGTAGCAAGAGATGTTCTTTCAAGCCCCACATTTCAAATTTCGCGTAGAACAGAGTGTCTGCGCAGCACAAAAAAATCAGATTTTCGCTCCATGAAGACCGTGATTTTCAAACTTACGAATTTTGCAAGTAAATATGATGATCCACCTCAATTAGCAGGTTTAGGGATGAGCCAGGCGACTGTGAGCGTGACGTCGAGCAGATTTGCGGGCCAATTACTTTCGCTCCTAGTTGAGCCTTCCTTTTTCTGATGCTTGTCTCAATAACTGCAAGATGACAAGATATGTTTTGGCAACAAACAATTATATGGATTGCCTTTAATACGCAGGGTCAGATTATCAACGTTTTTGTGGGTCAGTGTGGATCACAAATGAGCAGCGCTTTTTGGGAACTCTTCTGCATCGAACACGGTATAGATCCTGAGGGATGTCCTGTCTTTTGGGAGGGTCAAAGTGGAGATGATTTGGATGAGGGACGCGATGTTTTCTTTGAAGAAACAGAATCGGGTGGATTTTCACCAAGGACGGTCATAATGGACACCGAGCCGCTTGTGATTGGTGAGTTTGGTGTCGTGTAGCCTTGAAAGCAACCAATAGCAGGGCAGATATAGACAATAATAATTAATTATCAAACTTTAATGCAAATTGTAAAAAAATCCCAATTGCCAGCCCACAAACTTTGTATTTTCACTCACATCAAACGGCACTTCATCGATATGTACCGTTGCGTGGGAGAACTAAAGCCTGTATTTAAATATTCGGCTGCACAATCAGACGAGATAAGAGCGGGCGTCTATCGAAGCCTTTTCAATCCCCAACGGCTATTAAGTGGATCAGAAGATGGAGCGGGAAATTTCGCGCGTGGTTTCTACCAACTTGCCGCACAACACGCACCTCAATTCGCCGCTACGCTGCGTCGGGTTGCTGAGACCTGTGACTTACTGGAGGGGATTTGCTTTTTCCACTCATATGGAGGGGGAACGGGTTCTGGTCTCTTAATGGGTTCGTTCAGGTTCTATTCAGTTGCTTCCCTTTCTTCCCAAGCTATGCTCAATCTCGGCATCGTAAATTTATACTGCTCCTATCAATTTGCCAAACCATTTTAATTTTATCTAGAAACGCTGAAACCTTCTTTTACAGCTCTCCACGATACAATCGATGGGGAATATCCCAAAGCAAATAAATTTGATCTCGGCGTTTACCCTGACTACGACCAGGCTCTCTCCGTCCTAGAGCCCTACAATGCTGTCCTTGGAGCTGCAAGTCCGTACAAACCGGACTGTATCTCTCTCGTCCTTCAAAATCGTGCTATTATGGACATTTATGAGCGTGAACTGAACGTGGCCTGTGTAACATACTCACACATAAATCGACTTCTTGCTCAGGTAGGCCGGACTGTAAACCAAAATTTATCAGTTACGTTCGACTGGTCCACAAAATCTGTAGAGGGTTCTCAATGACAGTGCTTGGGTGGAGGCACAGAGACACAGCTGAAAGGCCATCCCAAAGTCTACAGTTACCAACACCTTCCATTAAGCTGGAACCAAAGCTATAGCCGCATCATGTTGAAAATCGGGGCATTTTGGGCCCTCATTTATCTCTACCCGCCCATGCATCTATTCATCCTTCTCCTGCCCTCTCTCCACTGCCGCCATCCACCAAATCCCTTAGTAGTTCGGTCACCTTTCTGCGCACCCACTTCTACAGATTTGGCTGAACCCAATCTAAAGGAAACTGAAGCTTAAATAGTTTATAAGTTTACAGCCTGCATTAAAGACTTTAATTAAGGGAAATTCTTGACAATTTTAATGATTTTTCCGCAGGTTTACAGTGGAATAACAGCTGGATTTAGATTTTACTCGTCACTGACATCAACTTTGGTCGAACTGCAGACAAACCTGATCCCCTACCCAAGTATGCACTACCTCATGAGCAGCTTCTACCCGCTTATGAGTCCGGCTGTGTATGATAGTACAAGTGAGTCTTCTCATGCCTATCCCAATTGTTGCTCTGACTACACAAGTGATGCAGCGCTTACCGGTGCTCTGGACGGTTCTGCAAACCGTCCATTTGGGAGACTCCGTAGATGTGGTAGTTTTGCTAGGCGATTTAGGGATCTGGGTGTTCTATGCACCTCAAACTGGAAATATTCTAAACAAACCCTTAAAAACGTACCAATGGAGCTCAGCGCCGCCAACGTAAAATTCGCATTTATACAAAATATTTAGACAGAAATGTAAATAGGCAGTAAAAAGTGTAAAATGTCAGGCAGGCACTAAACTTATTCATGACGTCGATTTAAATAAACTTTTTCACGCATTTGCGGTGACACGTTGATTGATTTGTTTGTAGTCATGCAGTCGCTGTCGAATATAGCCACCTATTTCTCCAAGACCACTCACCAGCATGCTTGAACACCCTCTTAATAAATGATGGGACAAATTTGCTCCTTAAAAGCAATACCACATCCCGTAATGACTATAGCCAAGCCTGAAGTCTGATTGGCTAATGCGCCTTTAACCCACATTGTCATTAACCATTTACCTAATCTTTCCTTAAAGAATGTTTGAAAACATTGAAGAAGCATTTTTCTCTCCTGTTAAGTAACCTTGATTTTGCAAAAAGAAACTAGTGAATTTTTAAACCTCTTGCTGTTTTTATTGGGCTTAAATGGTAAAATATAGCGCGAAGATAATTGGATGGTGGACGTCCAATCAACTGTGAGGAGGATTTGATGCCTCGTTGCATTGGCGGTTTAATTGGATTAGTTGTCAGAATGTCCACGCGTTAAAAAGTGGCAGAAAGTCCAACCAATCAGTAAAATGTTCATTTCGCCTTCAAGAACGCATTATAAGGCTTGGATTCGCACCAGCCTACAGTCGATAGACCGCAATGCTATTGCAGTCTTGTTAATGATATTGCGTTGAGTTTACTGCATTTTTGAATCAGCTAAAACTTTTCCCCTCTTTTATGGATCACTAGTTAGAGTCTGTGCTTTTGGGAGTCGAATTTCCCTCCCAACTCAACTTATACTGCTATTGTCACGACTGCGTTATGCTTGGCCAGCTTTTAACTTTGTTGTGATGAGAAATGCCTTTTGCGCTCATGTAAGAGCAAATGAGACACTACTAACCACTACCGGTGGCACTGTCTTTTCTCTAAAAACCATACACGGCATTCTAAATGAGTTTTCGATTACAAGACACCCAAGAGGTGTCATTCAAAAGTCATAACTGGTAGATTCGGCGAAATAATTTCCACCTTAAAATCGGGAGTGCAGAACAACAATTCTCATGGCATACAACTTGACCTTCAAGAATAACTGCACGGATGGGGGATAGATTCTACATCATCTCCCGTATTTCTCCTCCATTTGCTCTGAAGACTATTAACACTCGCGGATTCATATGATGATGTGTAAGACCTTCGAGACGGGGCAAGAGGCAGTAAGAACTGGATTCCTTGAATCAATTGTATAGACATTGTAAGATTGTGTAGCACTCCATCACGACAATAATAATTGTGTCTTAAATGAAGTAACACCGAAAGGGATCTCAAGGCTTATGCTATGAAAATTTTAAGGTCTTCACAGCTGTCTTGTACAATTATTCTGCAGAATTGAGTGCTGAAATGCTTCTTCAAGAGGCTCTATCCGACCGATTTCAACTTGCATTGGGCGTGTCTCCCATTGAAGACTCCGTGACGCTTTCCTGTGCCCTGCTCTATCGTGGAGATGTGACACCATCGGTCATCAATGCGGCAGTTGACGAGTGGAAACGATCAGGCAGACTCAAGTTCGCTGATTGGAGTCCGTGTGGCTACAAGGCGAGTGACCTTGTGATTAACCAATCACAAATACCGTTGTGTGTGGCTCAGACGGATCAACAAATTTTTTTTTTATTTGATGACTAATTCAACATGTTGAGTTGACTTTAGTTTGTTTAAACTTTGATGCTTCTCTGAAGTCTTTGAGCAGATAGCATTACTTTAGACATGATCCATTTCAAAGCCTTTCGTTTAAAGTCCGAGTGATTTGATAAACGAGCATTGAGGCGACTTACACGAAAACCAAAGAGCCCAAAGTTGTCAGAATTATAAGTAAGCTGTAGAAGTTAACTTTAGCCAAACACTATCCAGAGTACCAACCTTGGTGCTCTCTATAGTTGACTTGCTACGTGTGCAAGAACAATGGGCGAGAATGAACTACCAAAGCCTGTAAAGCAGTAAAGCCTACCATGCAACGATTTGCTTATAATTTGAATTTTTAGTGGCAGACTAGTTGACTATGCTTTAAGACGGTGGGGATCAGCTTCTAAGGACGTACAGCAATGGGTTGAGTTGATGTGCCACATCACCCTATTTCTGGAGCATCATTTCCCGATTATCGAGTTGCATTAAATCACTTCGAGATTGTCCAGTAAAGTGATAGTGATAGTTCTGGGAAATCAATTGACGTTGGCAAGTGGTGTCCCCGGGGGGAAAAGTAGTTGGTTTGGCTCTACGGGGAAGGGTTTTTAGAAAGAAAAAACGATTCCACTTGACCTAAATTTGCGTACGTCAGCATGGTCAGTCGTCGGTGGTGGGGATGGAAGCATTTGTGTTGCTGCCAAGGCGATCCATGGCTAATGGGCTAGAAGCAGAAGGAAAAATGGCATCGAAACTCATCATTACTGCCATCAAGGTGGTGGCATAGGTGATGAAAGCACAAAATCACAAAGTGTATTTTCCACTCATTTAATTCAGATTGGATGCTGTCGACAACCAATGGTAGTTATAAAGGCCACTGGAATGGTTTCAACACCTCTCTGCATCACCGCTCTCTACAACGGAACACTGGTGAAATCCACTCTCACTGGAATTGGGAATGACTTCATTGCATTGAAGAATAGAAAGGCATTTTACTATTGGTATCTCTATGAAGGTAGGTGCATTAAACTGCCTACTAATGCTTCGCACCACAGTTTTGCTCAAGTTTTTAAAGAATTCGATTGATGTCGCTTGTCTGAGTGCGACATCTACTGACTGTTCCATATTACACACCTCAAGTCGAGTCCAAAACACTGTAACAGTATCACAGGGATAAGTAGGTTAAATGTGCATCATAAGTGTGCACAAAGGTTGACATTAAGTGGATTCAAAATTTGCTATTCTTCATTTAGGCATGGAGGAATGCGAATTCGATGAGGCTTTGAACGACTTCCAGTCACTAATGCAGGACTATGAAATCGTGAGTCCTCGCCTTGCTACCGTTAAAAGATTCCAAGTTGTAAGATAAGGTGTGGTGATGCCTTTTTTTTAATTTTTAGATTGATGAGTCAGCTAGAAAGGCTCGAAAAAAGGTGGAGTTACATTGCTAATTCCTGCAGATATTTGATGCAAATTTTATTCGCCATGAACTTTCGATCACATCTTCTTTCGTTTAATTTATAGAATGACAGCTGTAAAAGCGTAAGCGCCTGTTTCACATATTACATCAAAAAGGTCCCTTTTTTGACTGCTGAGCAGATTTTTGCCAATTCTTTTATTTTTGATGGGCAATATTACTCACAAATTAATAGTAGAAACTACCACATTTAATGCGAAGACATTTCGACTTTTAGATGATGTCATTATTGGATCAGCCGTCAACATCATGTCAAAAATCATCAGATTGTGTAAGTCATCTGATTCCAACTTTGCCTTTTGATTTTACTGATGCTTTGACGGCGTCGCTGAATTTCCTTAAGTACTATGTCCACTTGCGGTATTATGCTTACGAGTTAGCAATTATGCCATTCGCTACTTCAAAACCTACAGAGCCAAACAACACGATCGTGTCTAAAGGGTCCGTCCCCTGGAACCACCCTCTACATTGATGTAGGTAGACCAAATGGATTCAACTCTTTAAATCGCATTAAGTCAAAGGGATCTACACTAATGATACTTCGTGCCTCTAGAAATCGGCAACATCTACAAGTTCTCCCAGATGCACCACAGACTACAATGGGGTAAGCAGAAAGTTGAGCCTTCATTTACTTTCTTTGTCATTAAGTTACGTTGTCCTTCCACTAACAAGTGCCTGCTGTTGTGTTATTCAACAATCGCTTTACAAAGCACAGGTACTATAAAAATTGTTAGCTGACTTTTCTGACCTACTGAAAGTACAATTAGCTGTTGGTTTTTGTTTTTTTTTTTGTAAAATGTTGCTCATTTATTTACGTTAGCTTCGCCCGACCTCCCCTCTCCGTCAAGGTGGCCAAGGAAAGTGTAAGTCGGAGGTGAGTTGTCAAGTCCCACCACCTTATACTGCACCAAAAACTTGCTTTCATTGTACCATCTTATTGTAGCCTCGTCGAACCCCTTGCCGACATGACACCTCGTTGCAGACGCCTTCAACAGATGTAATTATCCCTTTCGATGGCTATTCCATTCCATCCTCTAGACTTGCGTTAATGCGCATTTTATGCATTGAAAGGGGGTCTTTCTTGATGTTTCTCGTGGCAGTGATCCAGTCCAAAGTGTTGTGGACGTAAGTGTTTCCACCTTACCGCCACGAGGGGCTTCAGCGTGTCATTAAGCACCAAAACTATGGCATATTTTAGTGTCGACCCTGCTCAGTCTACTGTGGTACAGTTCAACAACCCTCCATGCTCGAAGTAAGTGTCACCTCAAGTAGGCCTTACATAAAACAAATTTTCAATCACTTTGAACATGTTTTTCCTTTGATGTGGAATTACAGGAGTGTCTACAAAACCCCGGACTTGAGGTGAGGCGTTGGTGGCAGACTTGTTGGTAAAATTCGATATTCCAAAAAAATAAAAAAGTCGGTACTTTGCTATTTTAGCGACGCTCTAGCGCCTACTACCGCAGCAGTCAGCGAGACGATTGTGCAGCTGAGGTTGTCCCTCCTTCCTGTTTATGGTAAAAGCTTTTTTTTATTCACAACTGCTAACGCCAACAAAACTTGCCTTTTTTAGCCCTCTTCCAAGGGAAAAACTCCGGTTTGTGGCCTTAAGAGTGCGTCTTCTTCGGAGGTGAGGCATCAACTCCTCCACCTTAGTACAATCGCATGCGGCGTCAAAAGTTCTCAAAAACGCCCGCCTTGTTTTGTCCATTTTAGCGCTGTACTAGCCCCTCTGAGAGGAGGAGAATTGAGGTAAACCCAATTGTCATCACCTTTTGTGAACTTTGTAATGCGTGATTAGCGTTAAGAAAAAAAAAATCTACTTTTATTGTTTTGGCGTTTAGCCGCGCTCCAGCTGCTCCGATCAAAGGAAAAAAGGGGTAATTTAGTGCATTTTTGTGGTGATTAGGTCATGCGATTGCAGCAATTTTTCTCCAAATGAGCCACAAATGTGTGCACTTTTGTGCTGCTAAAACCACTGTCTACTTGAGGAAATACTTTAGCCTTCCTTTTTTGTCTTGAAGCAACGCCAAACAGTCGCCTGCTGCAACAATGAGAAGCAACGTCAAACACCACGGGTAAATTCGCATTTTCCACATTCCATTGTAAATTGGGCTTTTTTTAAAGGAAACGCCACAGCCTCGCCGTCAGTACGAGTGCGATTTTAAGGCAAGTACGATAACATCCACATAAGTAGATGCTTTCTGTTGCCGTGCTTGAAAACAACAGGAAGTTGATTGGTCATTTTTAGGGACAACCAAGTTCGTGTGGCCACAAAACTGCAGGGAAAATGCGTACACCGGCAGTAAGTTCATTTCCTACTACAAACACCTAAACCACTCAATGCAATTTGAGGTACAAATTTTACAAGTGCAAATTGAGCTGAGAAGGATTTAAAGAGCAGTAGAAATAGAGGCAAACGCACAAATGCAGGACATTGGAAAACCTGAATTTGGTTTTAAGAGACACATGTCCCAGCCGTTCGTTTGAATTGCATGTGTCAAAAAAAGGGGAACTTTTAGCATGCTTAAGGCTGAGTTGTAATGGTTTTACTTTTCATACAGGTATTTTCATATCTACTTTTACACAACTCGCAAAAATTTAGCTGACTGCAAACAAGTTGGCTAAAAGGAAAGAATGTGCAGAGTATATTTACTAAATATCACATGCTTTTTGCTACGGAGAATACCCTTCAAAACACGTAAAGCATTATGCACCTCAGAGCAAATATCTCCACTAGCAGCAAGCCTGAGCAATCCAGAGAATCAACAGCTTCCGAGTGATTGTCTACTTAAATAAAGAGTAGTAGTATTTCGTAGACCATATCGTATGACACATTGGAATTGGTGCAGCTAAACTCGCCTAAAATGTACAAAAGTGGTTGAAAGGTAAACAGAACTGTTAGTAGACTTGCATATTTTAATAGTATCATTCGATGAGCGTGCGTTCAAGCTGCTTTGACTTGGAAAGTGAGGTAGGGAGTGACATGGGATGACAGCTATTACGAATTTCACATCCAATCCAACCGGTATCACTCCTTTCAGAAGACGTCACAACAAATGTGTCGAGGGAATACCCAGCCTCAGATGTCTCCCAAGGTGAATGGAGGTTTCCAAGAGGGGAAGGGGATGGAAGCATCATTTTTTATCAAATGTAATCCCTTTTTAAACATTCCTTTCCTTAGCGATGCCCACGTTCCGTCCACCCGGCCAAACGCAACCATCAAATTTACCCAACAGAAGTAATTTGCACAAATTTTAATTCAAAAATTGCTCTCTTCTGAAACTGCCCTATTTTAACAATGTGCGCTTGGCTTTATTTTTTTTTTAAGCCATGCAGAAATGAGCGACCTTGCACCGGTTCAGTAAGTACACTTTGAGTCTTCTCCCGACGGTCACCATACAAGTCAACAATCGTCACGTCTTTCCTTTCAGCGGCGACCGAATCCGTGCTGCCACACTCCCCAACACCGAATGCCTTCCCCGGAGGTAGCGCAAATTTCAGCAAATTTAAACAAGGCTAGTTTTAGAGTCACCTCGAACCTCACTAAGCGTGCGCCTTTTTTAAAAGTAGACACGGTCCTCCCGATGTGGTCATGAAAGGCATCAACGGCCTTCTACGATGGAGGTAGGCTACTGCTAGCCCAGGCGCCAATGCCATCTTGTCAAGGTGTAATTTTGAAGAATAAAATTTTCTACTTTGCAGCAACAGGAATACTCAA